AAGTCCTGCACCTGCCACGAAAACTGCACTTCAACATCCACAAAGTCCTGCACCTGTCCACAAAGTACGGCGCCTGCCACGAAACACGAAAAACAAAATCCAAACAAACACAAGAAAAAAGACTAAATTGCATCCGAGCCCCATTAACACTTCCAACATTGCTCAGCGCCTGAAATTTGGCGCCAAATGTCCTGGCCCGTGCGTTTGAGCCTGTAGTTTTTCCAAGATGCTAAAGCCACAGCTATGGTTTGTTGAGAAGTTGTCAAGTTTTCATTAAAATATAATGGGCCACAAACTGTCCTCCTTGATTGCTGGGACACTCTTGTTACTCAGCAAAGTTTCAAGGTTTCTGCACGAATCCGCGAAACTGGAATGCTCTCTTTCTTTGAGGACATAGTATTTTTTTTGCCCCAAGAAAATTGATCCACCAGGTCGATGAACAATGTTTTTGCACATGAACCGACCAGAACCTGTTTGATTGCAGTTTATAATCTTTGGCAGTCTCTTCAAGAGACACAATGAAACAAATCATCCGTTGCAATTCCCAGTGCTTGGGTCACAGCCGTCATAGCTGGGAGCCCCTCTCACCGTCCTGTTTCTTTGTACAGCGTGGTTGCGTCCCTGGATGCTTGGGTCATAGCTGAGAGCTCCCTCCTCCTCGTGTTCATGCAGGTGTTGCGTTTCTAGCTTTATGTACGCGGCAGGGCGGCAGTGGACCACCATCAGCACTCACTTCCCAACGAAGACAGTGGTGGTAGGGTCATGATATCAGAAGGGATGCCTTCTAGACTTCTAGACCTGCATTTAAAATCATTTAAATGCGTTGCTACGGCGACTGGACCAAGCCACTAAGCCGAGAACCCAGCATGCGGACGTGTTGTGAACTGTTTTGTTTAAGTTCTTGAGTCAGTATGCATAGAAACCCTTCCGCTTCTCTTCACCGACTGTTTTGAGTCTTGAGCACGGCACGACTTTAACACTTACCTGGCCTCTTAGGTTCTTTTTTGCCGACTTTTCCTGCTTTGCGGCATTCAGCCAGTACGTAGAGGTGGTTCAGGGAACACTGGTTTGCTGCCGTTTATTTTTGCATATTTCACTGCAGTCCGTGCGTCATGCCATTGCGTCGCCATGCTCACTTCCAAACATTCGGTTTATTGTCTTGGTTCGCGCAAGCCTTCTGTCCCCCAATTTCTAGGATTGCCCTTGCTTGTTCCGGGGGGCCAGGCTAACTAGATTCAGACTGTTTAGCGCAGAGTTTCCCCAGCCTTTAATTTGTACTCGTTTTAAAATTTGGACTTGGCTGGGGTTTAATTCTCTAGTCTATACGCTTCATTCATTTCACGTTCCCCTTCACGAACGGGGGGTGTTTGCTTGTCAATCAAAGCTGTCCGTTTTGCAAGGACCTTGCCGGGAGATGCTCGGGAAATTTAGTTCCTGCATTTGTCAAAATCGATCTGCCGGCCTGACTGCAAAATGTTCCTTGTGTGGTAGCAATGATGGCCCCCAAATCTTTCAACAATTCACGTTCGATGAGGAATGGAGCACGACCTTCAACAATGGCAATTCTAAATGACAAGATTGTTTTGCACTGTTGCAGTTGTTATTTGCCTCTTTGTTTGAAAATGTGGCCTTTCTTGTTGGCTTCGAAGTGTATGTATACGTAGGCATGTATTCATACACTTGTTTCTTTAGACATCACAAGGGCGGGGCGCACACACACAAATCCCAACGCTGGCGTTTTGGGGAGCCTGCTGCAGTTGTATTTTGTGGGTAACGGTGGCGGCAGGCAATACGGTGGATGCATCTATTGGAGAGCGGGTGGCCAATCTTCAAAATATTTTCCTTGGAAGCTTGGCACAATGATTTGGCAATTTTATATTCAAAAGTCATTGGGCCAAGGTAACGCATGCTGCGCTTGGCGCTCAGAATTGTCAAGGTTGCAAGAAACGGATTTGCATTCTGGATGTCAGGTGCGTCATGAAGAACCAGCAGGATTGTTCACCACGCTGTACAAAGGCCTATCCAGGGCTTTTGCATGCAAATCCATCGCGTTAGTAGCCTCCCTGGCCTGTAGTTGTAAAGTTCCATGTTTTGAGATTCTGTCTTCTGGCTGGGCGATGCGAGTATTTTTGTTGCGCAGGATCGAATCAACTACCTCATGCTTATGGTAGAAAACAAGGTGGGCATAAACAAACCCAGGCCGCAGCAGGAACAGAAGGTGCTGAGGCCATTCTATTCAAAGGTTCTGGCAGGCATTGACAAAGTCCAGGTACTGATTGAATGCACTACAAGAAGAAGTGCTAAATGCTTCGAATCTTGCCAATGTCAGACCTTGATGCTTCATATTGTTGGACCTTACCACCCTGACACTCCGGAAAGGATAAAGGGAGAAGGTCCTTCATAAAGAAGAAACCTTTGTTGAGTTTTGTTTAGTCATGTTGTGTACCACATACCCAAACTCATCAACATCATTGACACAGAAAACAGAAAGAACTTAGGAATGCATTCCAAGGTCCAGGAGAACCACTACTTGTTCACAATTCTTTTCCACTCAGTATGTCAAGGTTGCATTTGTTGTTTCATGCTTTCGTTCCAGAAGACGGACGAGATGTTGAGGGACAGCGTGATGAGCATGTGCCAGGTCAGTGAAGCAAGTGAGCAATATGGTAACCATATGGGCCCCCACCTCAGGAGGAACCCAGCGCCACTCCATCCAGACAGCACACCAAATCCAAGCATTTGCACATCCAGCCAACTCGCAGAACAAATGGATATATATATATATATGTGCTTATATTATATAATGTAAAAAACATATTGAAGGATTCCACCCTTACAACGTTGCATGGCTGATTTGTTCGAGCAAATGCGCTTCACACACGCTGCCTTGCGAATGTTTGTGTAACGCCGGTTCAGCGCTCATGCTTTTGAATCGCGACGTTTGGCTCAACAGCTCGCGCCAGCCGCTGGCCACCAGCTTCCGCTG